CTGTAGCTTCAGCTAATGCTCATTGCTCTTGTGCAACTTAGATTTCTGACCTCACATACTGCTTAAAACCACTGCTTAAATAGAGTCACTTCATCCATGATTCCTGCACATCATAATATTGAGCTCTGTGCTTTTTTGCCTCTCCAGAATTCTACAATTATGCCAGAATGTTTACATCTGCACTTCTGATTCTCTAGTAGGTTATAAAAGGAGAACATAAGTATTTCTTTTACGCATGAAATGAGCTCTTTGAAATGTATACTAAATACGATCACATAACTCACATAACTTAAATCACAAAAATCATAAATTAAACCACAAAGTCTTTTATTTTAAAAATTAGCCGCATACATTTGATTACAGTTTATAATGAGTCATAATTTACACTAATTCTAATTACAATAAGTTGGAGTTTGTTTATATGTTCTGGTGATCCCTATAACAAATTACCCCAAAACTTAACTGGCTTAACACTCTATTTTGTTCACAATTGTGAAAGTCAGTAGATTGGGGATGATTGTACTCCAGCAGTTATGGTGAGATACTAGATGGGCTTTGGTCACCGAACGCCCCCCCCGCCCCCCCCCCNCCGCCCCCGCCCCCGCTCACTCTCATGGCTAGCAGTTGGTGCTGGGTGTCCTTTGGCAGCTTACATGAGGCTATCAATGAAAGTGTGGCTCTGGATTCTCTCTGCAAGGAAGTAACCTGAGAGGAAGCGTTCTTAGAGACCATTGTGGGAGCTGAAAGGCCTTTTCTGATGTAGCGGTGAAAGTCATGCAGAGTTACTTCCATTGTATCCTATTGCTCAAGCAAATCTATAAAACCAGCCCAGGTCCAAAGACAGGGATTAGACTCCATCTTTCAGTAGGAATAGTAGCAAAGGATTTGTAGCCATCTTTAATCTACCACATTACGAATTCCATATTTATGAATAATTATTGAATCAGGAAATAATTGAATGGAATTTTAGTCCTCAAAATTAATTATACTTGAATGAAGTACAGAATGTCATAATTACTGAGTTATATATTTTCCTATCTGTGGATAGTATGCATTTAAATAAGCACAAGGTTAAATTGGTTAGATTAGCCTTCAGGTTAATGGAATAACCTTATTTTAAAAACCAAGAATATTAAAATTAAGTTAATTCTATACATCAATATGATTTCTAACTCAATATACCATCCTGCCAAATATATTCTAGAATTTTTCAAATATAGTGAGTTTATTGAGGGAATATTGCTGTCAGCTGTCATCTGAGAGTAAGTATTGTTCAAGGGCTTTCATTTTGTGTGTTAGATACCTCTGTGAATATTGCCACAATATAATGACTGTAAATGAAACTCTAGGTAACTAAGATTCATTTGCAAAGTCAGCCATAGAGAAAGCTTTAAAAAGTAGCTTCTGATGACATATGATAAATATTTAATATCTGTTGTTCCATAAATGAATGCAAATTATATGTTAGCAGTTACCTGATTTAAACCTGCGAGACTATGAGCTCCTTGAAAAAGTTCCTCAGGAATAAAATCAGAGAATTATGCAAAGTGAGCATATTTTTGGAAAACCATGTTTCTTTATAATTGCTATTAACCACAATATTGAGAAATGTTTCATTTTATACTAATCAACACCATATACGTTAATATACAACAATATTGTTAATAATTAATCAACAAAACAGTTGTGGTAGATCCAGGCTGAGGCTCAGCTTGCTTTTCCATGAGTGACTCAGCTGAAAGTCCTGTAGTTAGCTGACGGCCTCCAGCTGTTAGCATCTTCAGTGCCTGCCTTAGCTGAGGTCTAGCTCATCTCTAGGTGGTTTGAGACAATGAGTCAAGTAACAACAGCTGAGTCTAGTTCTTGAGGCAGCACCCAACCAATGAGTGAACAGGGAGTGGTATAAGAGCACGCCCATTTTCCCTCAACAGGGGGATTCTTCTTCCAGGCAGTGTTGGCTCTGGAGCTTCTGGTTTAGATGGCAGAGCATATCAGGTAGGAATCATGGTCCAACTGTCCCCCTGCCCAATTTCAATTTTTCTCCATTTCTTTTCACATGGATTTACTCTCTAATGAACCTTTACACCCTTAACTCCATCTCAGTATTTAATTCCTGGAGCACCCATTTGTTACATTTTGTTTTATGAAGGGAGTTAATTTTTCTTAAATGAGATATTGGACACATACAATAATTTGTATTAGGTAGTTTATAGTCTGGTGTTATTAACCTCCACAAAAATGTCCATGGGGCTGGAAGAAGTTTAGTAACCAGCGTAGAGCCACCGGGTTAGTTAATTGAAGTTCTGATGATTTGTTCCTAGAGCTCTGATTCTATAAGAAACATGAAATTTCTCTTACCTGTCTCAAGCCTGCTACTTTCTTCTTTGCATTGTGGAACAAGCTAAGCCTTTGTGCCATTATCAGTGTAAAATATAATATTTAGAATGTATGAAAATACATATGAAAAATGATGAGTATAATCTCAATCCATAAAAGCCCATGATTTAGGAAAGAAATAGGAACGCTATAAAACAAATAAATAAAAAAAAGATAATTAGCATCTCACAGTGAAGCTGGTTGTCAGCAAATGAAAGTAAATATCAGTAAATTTGAATCATGTGTTCTGTATGACTTAGTGTAGAGGAGACAAATTACTAACACCACAAGAACCAGAATAAACAAGCGTTCTGTTTTCTTTAATCCTTCAGCTGTTTTCCTGTTTTCTTCCTTTTTAGTTCAGATAAGGTGAATAGATTCAGAAAAAGTTAGGATTATCCTAATGTTTATACCATTTATTTGGTGATTTTATGGGAAGGAAACGTGAAATTTGAGCATTGTATGTATGTCAGTTACAATGTTTGGTGATTATGATATGCTAATAAAATACAGGCATACCTCAGAGATATGGTGGGTTTGGTTCCAGACCACTGCAATAAAGTGAATATTGAAAGACAGCAAGCCATAATCTTTTTGTTGGAGAGCCTTGCCTTCAATTTCTAAAAAAATAAAAATAAAAAAATAAAAAATTATGCAATACCTGTGAAGCACAATAAAGTGAAGCACAATAATAAAACGAAGTATGCCTGTAGTGTGTCCACTCAAGTGGGGGGAAGCTAGTCCAATGAGGCTGCACAACAAGCAAATAACACTTGAAGTATTAGTAATGTATCAAATGATGCATGATTTAAATCCTGTAGAGCATGCTCTCTCCTTCAACGGATATATACTTCAGCCAACAAGCAAAGCTCCCTAGTGGAATAATGAGTGATGCTGAGTCTGGGGAGTTAAAGGGATGCAGGAGGTAGAAAGCAGTGTAATCTCGTGCATGGGTGAAGAAGCAAGGAGACATAAAACAGCATCTTGCATTTCAGTTTTATATGAAAGTTGCAAATGAAAAACTTTGAAGCTTCAGAAATAAACAATAGCAGATAAGGAAAGACACTATATAGTATGCTAAAGGGTTTTGATTTTTTTGTTTGTTTTTGTTTTTTGTTTTGTTTTTTTCCTGAAAGAGGAAGTGAGTAGCTGTTAAATTAAGAAGTGATGTAATTAATACCCGTTTAGGAAAATATTTCTGACCAGTAGGGAAAGTGATAGAAAACCAGTTTAGAGACTTGTTGCAGTAAGTCAGGTAAGAATCAATGAGTACCTAGAGAAGGTCAGTGAGAAATAGAGAGGAGTGAGTGCAAGAAATACCAAGGAAATAGAGATGAAAGAGTTTGGTTCCTAGTGCGTAAGAGCTGAGAGTATAAGATGGCTTCCTGGTTATCTTAGAAAACAGGAAGATATTGGGAGACATAAGTAGAAGTGAAGTTTTGGGGTAGGGGAAAATGATGTTGAGATGAAGGTTGAGTTGAAATGTCTATGGGACAATGCTGAGTGTATATGCTCAGTACGTAGTTTTATTCATGGTTTGAAGCTTGGAGATAGATAGGTCTAAATTAACTATTTGTATCTGAGTTACCGCCATAGAGTAATAGAGGCCATAAATGTGAATGTATTGTGTACGTAGAGACTGTGGCTGATTGTACATTCAGACTAAGATTAAATACCTACAGTTCTCTAGTGAAAGGCACAAATGTTATAGAGGAGTCATTAAAGATAGACTAAAATGGCCATTAGTTTGGGAACTAATATTTAATAATAGTAGAGGAACAAATGGCAGATAAAACACCTTGTGTAGAATATAGGTATTTTTCCCCCTCACTGATTATGTATGCACAGGAGTGGAAGGAAAGAATTTAGGATGATTCCCTGGTTTCTAAATTAATAACATGGACAAATGGATAGCCAAAGAAAAAAAGTGATATAAGAAAAACATGTGTGGGGCCGGCCTAGTGGCGCGATGGTTAAGAACTGACTTGGAACGCCAGAGGGCCCCGGTTCGGATCCCACGTATGAGGGCCAGTGACACTGCCCTCCACAGCTAAGATGCTGAACAACAGCTCAACCTGGAGCTGGGCTGCCCTGAGTCGCAGGCGAAGGTGTAGGCTGCAGCCCCTGCTGCAGTGGGTTGCCATGGGCTACCGTATGTAGCCAGCAGCCAGCGTGAGCGGCCAGCAGCTGCAGTGAGCAGCTGTCCAGAAGCCGGCGACTGATCGGCCTCACTCGGGAAGAGCGCAATGATGGTACCCACTTGAGCCAGTGAAGCAATGTCCTCCACAACTAGATTGAGGAACAAAACGACAGCAACTTGTCTGTTCTCCTTCCCCCAATTCCCCAGCACTGTTCCCGTCCCCCTAATTCCCCAATAAAAAATAAAAAATAAACTTTAAAAAAACATGTGTATATCATATATAACATAATATTTTTGGATACATTAGTTTATTTTTCAATTTAGAATATTATGAAAAACATCATACTGCAGAGGAAATTGCACTTTCATTAGTCAGATGTAATTATCTCCCACTATATGAAGCTGACTTTTCTTATCAAGAGCAAAGTGAAAGGGCTAAGCCTATTATGCCGTCTCTTTGATGTTTTTATAGGATATAATGAAAGATGAATGCTCAATGCTGAAGCTGCAGCTGAAAGAGAGGGATGAACTCATTTCCCAACTTCAGGAAGAGCTGGTAAGTGATAAGAATATTTGGTCCACAAGTGTACTTTCCTTGCAAGGTTACTTGCTACAAACTCTCCGATAATTTATTTATTCACACTAATATTAATAATTTGTAAGCTGTTAGTGTTTCAATCTAACTAATTCTCAATTTTATAATCTGATGGTAGTGAGCTGACAATATGAAACAGAGAGAGCATGTTTTGTAATATGTATTGAACTTTATATAATTCTAGAAACAGATCACTGAACAGGTTAGACATTTCAGTTGAATCTACCAAAAATTGTGAAGGCTAAGGCCACATTTCATTTTGTAAAGTACATGATTTCACTCCATGCTGCTTTACCTAGAGATACAAACATGTAATATGAAGTAAATTATTTACTTATCCTACAAACATAGATTTTAGTTTTTATTTTCATAAAGCTACCACAAGTGTATTAACCTAATGTGACTTTTGTTAATATAGACATTATATTATATAAATCCTAAATGTAAATATTATATAAAATATGAAATATATATTCATGTTTTCAGGGCTTTTTTAATCATAAAAATATAATAAATCCTACTTTTATAGTGTGAAAACACATTTGGGAGGTAACAAGGATAGTAGTGGGCATTACTTTTCTAAGTATGTGTTTTCGACATGATGGTTTCAGATCTGACTTACAGATTTGACTACATTAACAGTTATATATTATGTAATTATGAAATATGACAAAACATTTTATAGACCAAGCTTCTGAGAACTCTTAACTCGCTAGTACATGGCAGACGAATTTAAAGCATATTTTATTGACTCGTGACAACTGACAACGTTTTTAGTGAGACTTGACCTTCATTTGTACTGTTCTGTGATTGGGTTGATGCTAATTATTGGCCCCATGAGTATAGTATTATTGCTGATTTAGAAACATTTTAAATCCTTGTATAAGTGGACCTGAGTGATTCAAACCTGTATATTGTCAAAGGTCAACTTGTAGTCAATTTGGATAATTCAGGTTAAAGTAAAAAACAAACAAACAAACAAAAAAAGCACTTGTGCCTCATTTTACTAAATCAGCCAATAAAGGACTGTTTATCTGGAGAGAGAATTACTCTAATTATAGCTATGTAACACTGACTCGGGAAGTAATAATTTATCATTTTATTCAACAAAGGTCTGATTTTTTTTTTTGTATATGGTGTTTTAAATCTGATCACAACTAATGTTGGAAAAAACAAAAACAAAAAAAGTCTTTGAGTTAATTATCCAACTTGGATGCTGGTAGTATCTTCTAGGCATTGCCACAGTCCTTGAGAAGAATCATTGCTTTAGGGGGCACTAGATTAAATTATAGACCCCGGTGAAACTGTTTGTTACAGGATAAATATCTACATGTTGATAACCAGGAAAAAAAAAAGTTCTGAACGAAGGATGGGCCTTTCTTTTTACTATGGCATGTATAGCTTTTAGGCTGCTAGGGCTGCCATAACACAATACCATAAGCTGGCGGTTTTCAACAACACATTTTCTCACAGCCCTGGAGGCTAGAAGTCCAAGATCAGGGTGCCAGCATGATTGGGTGCTGGTGAGAACTTTTTTTCTTGGGTTGCAGATGGCTGTGTGCTCACGTGTCCTTTGCAGATCACATGTGTATAGAATGAGGGAGAGGTAGAGGGAGAAAGGGGTGTAAGTTCTCTGATGTCTCTTCTTATAAAGGCACTAATCCCATCATGAGAGCCTACCCTCAGGACCTCATCTAAACTCACACATCTCCCAAGGACCTAGTCTTCAATGCCATCATATTGGGGGTAGGATATCAACATATAAATTTGGGAGGTACACGGTTTAGTCCATAGCACATACTGTTTAGGCTCATGCCTATTTCATATTAGCAAGTAAAATTCTGGACAGAGAGTTCTATTATGTTTATGTTTTGTTTTTGTTTTTTTATCAAGCACTAAATGCACATTTTAAACATTATCATTCTTTCCTGTAACTTCAGAATTATTTCCTTAGGACAACTGTTCTTTCATGCTGGGTTGGTAGATTCTACAAAGCATAAATATACTAAGAAGCTCAAAATAATAATGTCGATTTAAATTATATATTGATACTGTTTGGAAAAACTGCCCACATTATTAACTGCATTTCTAACATGAGTATATTTTGTAATCACACTTTAAATTTATCCCTACCTGTTCTCTTTTTTAAAAAAGAAAGCAAGTGGTTTGTACTCTTGGGAACACTTTTAAGATGTTTGAAATTATTATCCCTAAACTTTGTAATTATTATCCTCTAAATTTGTATGTATCACTTATGTTGGTGAGATTTACTGACTTTGTTTTAACAGATAATTCTTGGCACATATACTGTGATGTCCAGTGGGATATTAAATAGAATATCAGTGTCCTGGGGTTGTATATGTAATGGGGCAACAATTGGTGAAAACAAGAAATAAACTCTTTAAGCAGGAGTGTTTGGTTTGGTAAACTGGAAGGAACTGGTCCACACATGGGATATTTACTCCCAACTGCTTTATAATAGAATAAAATCTCCTCTGCCCTGATATGAGGTAATGTGAAGGGCACAAGCTAGTCATACCTATGTGGCATGGACAATGGAAATAGTATTTTTTATGTTGATTAAAAAAATAAATATATCTTGTGTTGGTCTTATAAAGGGTGTTCACAAAAAAATGGAATAAGCCAAATAATATTTAAATTATCTAATCAACTTTAAGACCACTTTCCCATCAAATCAGCTCTTTAATATGTTTTTATTTTCATTTATTTCCTCTCCCATAGAAACTTATATGAACTTTGCTGAGCTTGTTGAGGATTTAGTGACTTTGGTTCTTTTCAGTGGTTTTCCTTTGAAACATATTTCTTCTCTTTTTAAAAATTCTTACCTGTGATTATATTTACAAAATCCTAGTTACAGTATTATCTATTTAGACTTAAATTATGTATAGTGTAAAATTTATTACACATTACTGCTTCCTTCCTTCCTTCACCTTTCTCCATTTTATGGTCTCTTCTGATTCATTTATGGTTTGGTTAGAAATCTCTCCCAAGCGTTTCCTTCAGATGGAGCATTGATGATGTCATCTCTAAATCTTTGAATATCTCTTTACCTTGAAAGATGTAGGATACTGCTATGGATTAAACTGTGTTCCCCCCAAATTCATGTTGAAACCCTAACCCCCAATATGACAGCATATAGAGATAGGGCTTTTAGGAGGTCATTAGGGTTAAATGAAGTCATAAAGGTAGAGTCCTAATTCAATAGGATTAGAGACCTTTTAAGAAGATAAAAAGAGAGGAATATATTCTCTGCATGGCCAGGAACCAAGCAAAGGCCATATAAGCTCACAGAGAGAAGGCAGCTGACTGCAAGCCAGCAAGAAAGACCTTAGTAGGGCCTGACCATCCTGGAACCCTGACCTTGGACTTCTACCCTCCAGAACTATGAGACAATTAACTTCTGCTTTGTAAGCCACCCAGTTTATGGTATTTTGTTATGGTAGCCTGAGCTGACAAAGACAGACACCATGTCTAAGCATAGTCTTTTTAGGTCTTGGTCTTTTTTTCTTAACAAATAAAATACCATGTTTTTTTTGTTTGTTTGTTTTATTTCTTTCCCGTTTTTTAAATTAAAATTGACTGGGGTGACAATGGTTAGTAAAATCACATAGGTTTCAAGTGTACAATTCTGTAATACATCATCTGTATATCACATTGTGTGTTCACCACCCAGAGTTAGTTCTTCCATCACCATATATTTGACCCCCATTACCTTCATCTACCACCCTCCAACCTCCTTACCCTCTTGTAACCACTAAACTATTGTCTGTGTCTGAGTTTTTGTTTCTTCGTTTGTCTTGTTTGTTTGTTGCTTTCAGTTTTATATTCCACATATCGGTGAAGTCATATGGTTCTTGACTTTTTCTGTCTGACTTATTTCCCTTAGCATAATAATCTCAAGATCCATTCATGTTGTCGCAAATGACACTATTTCATCTTTTCTTATGGCAGAGTAGTATTCCACTGTGTATATATACCACAACTTCTTTATCTGATAATCTATTGAAGGAAACTTTGGTTTCCATGTCTTGGCCACTGTAAAGCTGCGATGAACATCGAAACACATATATTTTTATGGATAAATGTTTTCAGATGTTTGGGTAGATACCTAGGAGAGGACTTGCTGGGTCATATGGTAATTCTGTTCTTAATCTTTTGAGGAACCTCCACACTGCCTTCCATAGCAGCTCCACCAATCTGCATTCCCACCAACAGTGTATGAGGATTCCTTTTTCTCCACTGCCTCTCCAGCACTTGTTATTATTTGTCTTGTTGATGATAGCCATCCTAACTGGTTTGAGGTGGTATCTCATGGTGGTTTTTATTTGCATTTCTCTGATGATTAGTGATGTTGAGCATCTTTTCATATGTTTATTGGCCATCTGTATGTCCTCTTTGGAGAAATGTCTATTCAAGTCCCCGGCTCATTTTTTAATTGGATTGTTTGTTTTTTGTTGTTGTTGAGTTATATGAACTCCTTATATATTTTAGACATTAGTCCCTTATTGGAGGTGTTGTTTGTAAATATTTTCTCCCATTCAGTTGATTACCTCTTTATTTTGTCGATGGTTTCTTTTGCTGTGCAGAAGCTTTTTAGTTTGATATAATTCATTTCTTCTAGCTTTTACTTCCCTTGACTTTGAGGTCAAATTCATAAAAATCCTCTTTGAACCCAAGGTCCATAAGGTTAGTACCTATGTTTTGTTCTATGCAGTTTGTTGTTTCAGGTCTTATGTTTAGGGTTTCGTCCATTTTGACTTAATTTTGGAACATGTTGACAGTTAGCAGTCTAGTTCCATTCTTTTGCATGTTTATTGAAAAAGCTTTCTTTTCTCCAGTGGATGTTTTTGGCTCCTTTGTCGAAATTATCTGTTCATATTTATGTGGTTATTTCTGGGTTTTCAGTTCTATCCCATTGGTCTGTGCATCTATTTTCCTTC